TATTAACTGACTTTGTGTTAGAGTCACAAGCCTGAGAATTTTGCTTGATTTAAATATAAATTTACAGACAACAGTCAACATGTGGTGTAGTACTTATTCATCTTTGGGCCAAATGGTTCTGAGCATGGTGAGTTACATTTCCAGATGCATTTCTACATGAATATTGTATGGTTTGTAATCACACCACATCTGTCCTAAGTGCATGAAGTCAAATATGAAGCGTCGAACCACAAAATCATTTACTTGTCTTGAATGTAGTTTTTGCATTGTATCCAGGATGTAGGGAAGTATTTTTAGAGTACAAATCTTCATGCAAGTAAAATAGTCAAGTCAGAATACAAGCAACTATAAAATGTTTTGGTAGGCTATGAAAGTTGCAGAGCAGACAATAGTCTGGAGGGATTTCAGAGAATAGTGCCAAAACATCCAGTCAGCATTCGTTCTGTTTCTGTGTTTGAAAATGTCTTGTTAAGTGCAGGCCAGCTGGGGAGTGGGGAGGGGGTATAATCGCACTCTGGCTAGTTAAAAGGCAACCATTCCTAGTATGAGTACACCCTAAGTCTGTATTTAGTCTGTAATTTATCCTGGACTCCAGTTTCTGGAGCTGTTTCTTTCCACCCTTCATGGCCAGACTCTCAGCCTCATCCAGACGGTGCTGCAGGTCTTTGACAGTCACCTCCATGTTCTTCTTCATCCTCTCCAGGTGAGCACTGGTGTCCTGCTCCTTCTTCAGCTCCTCAGCCATCATGGCAGCCTGAAATATAAGCCAATGAAAATGAGCTAACCAATATAGACAGAATTAGCTTCCATGATTGCTCTCTTTGCTACCACATGCAGCTAAACAAAGTCAAATAACTGTTTCAATTAGCATAGAGTAACAGAATGCAAACACCCACATCAGTGATGGCCTTCTTGGCCTTCTCCTCTGCATTTCTGGCCTCCTGGACTGCATCATCCACCTCACCTTGAACCTGGACCAGATCAGTCTCAAGCTTCTTCTTGGTGTTAATAAGACTCGTATTCTGCAGGATTTAAGCAGGTAGTTTAATGTATATTTATCTAATAAATAGGGGACCACCAAATGACAACATCTTTAATTGACGACGACCTCTGACCTCTCACTTCAGGACCCCCGCGTCCCATTCACCTTTTACCTATTAATAATCTCCAGATGTCAGTATGTCATATGTTTTTAGCATAATTAAACTTTCGGCATTGACCCAGCGATCTTGCATATCCTCCGGGGATCAATATGAACATCTTGGAACCTTTCCATTCCAAGATGGCGGCGCGTGCAGACAGTGCGGCTTCTCTTTCTCCCGACAGAACAGTGTTTTCGGGTTTTTTATCTTGTGATTCGCAGTGATTTTGTACGTATTCGTCGCATCTATCTGTCTCTAAGCGTGCATACAGTCGTGAGTTTCTGCTCAATGTTGGTAGAACCACATTTTTAGAGCTAAAATCCGCGCACGCCAAAGAGCTGCAGGACCTCGGTCTGCTCCGGAGGCCTACACCATCACCGACCCCCACTACTGCACCTCGCCCACAGCGGAGGCGCTACAAGTGGCGTGAGAGGAAGCAGAAGAGGGGTAAACGCGGCGGTATCCAGGCTAGGCTAGCGACTAACCCACACAAGCCAGCTATCCCCACCATCGTACTGGCTAACGTGCGCTCTTTGGATAATAAAGTCAAGTCAAGTCAAGTCTGCTTTATTGTCAATTCTTCCACATGTACAGCACATACACACAGATAATTTAAATTGCGTTACTCTCAGACCCTTGGGTGCATACAGATAACATAAATACAGATTAAATACAAAATACAAAATACAACTATACAAAATACAACTATACAAATATACAAATAAGGTAAAATGTAAATATATATATAAAGCACAAGGCATATGGAAGATAGAGTGCAAACCAGTAAAGTAAACAACAGTGCAGATATAGTGATGTGATGTAGTGCAAAAAAATTATTTGTAGTGCAAAAGAGCTTATTTCAGACTGATTAAAGTGACAGTGTGTGTGTGTGTATTTGGGAGGGGGGAGTGGGAGAGTCCATCAGAGGGTCAGAGTTCAGTGGTGCGTACGTAATAAACTGGACTTCATCCGACTACTACGCTCAACTCAGAGGACTGTAAGAGAGGTGGGTCCCCGGACAGCGTGAGGAGAGCCCTCAGCAGGATCAACGCACGCAAAGCTCCGGGTCCTGACAACATTCCTGGGCGTGTACTGAGAGACTGTGCAGTGGAACTCACTGATGTCTTCACAGACATTTTCAACATCTCACTAAGCCAGGCTGTTGTCCCCACATGCTTCAAAGCTACCACCATCATTCCAGTCCCAAAGAAGTCGTCTCCATCCTGCTTCAATGACTACCATCCAGTTGCACTTTAACCGTTCAAAGCACTTCATGAGAATAGGGGTAAGTGCTTTGAACGGTTAGTCATGCACCACATCAAGTCTGCCCCCCCCCTCCCTGGACCCCTTCCAGTTTGCATATCGGTCCAACCGCTCTACCGATGATGCCATCGCCTCTACCGTCCACTCAGCACTCACACACCTGGACAAAAAAGACTCATATGTCAGAATCCTGTTCATAGACTTCAGTTCAGCATTCAACACAATCATCCCTCAACAGCTCATTCACAAACTGGTCCAGCTGGGGCGCAACACTTCTCTGTGCAACTGGCTGTTGGCCTTCCTGACTGGAAGACCTCAGGCAGTACGGGTCGGCAGCAACACATCCAGCACCATCACACTGAACACTGGGGCCCCCCAAGGATGTGTGCTGAGCCCCCTCCTCTTCACTCTGCTGAC